AGAGGAGGTCGACCTATTCTCCAAAGCACCTGAGGGCAGGACAAGAAATTATGGATGGAAACCTATCAAAGAGAGATGAAACCTAGAACTAAGGAGAAATTTCCTGGCAGTAAAAGCAATTATTTAACAGAACAGCTTACCTCTAGAAGTTGTGGGTGCTCCATCACTGGAGGTTTTCAAGAAGAGACTAGACAACCATTTGCCTGAGATTATATATATAGGGTCTCCTGCTTGAGCAAGTGGATTGGACTAGTCCCTTCCAATTCTGTTGTTCTATGTTCTAACAGGATAAAATTGTTAGACAAGATATAAAAGTAAGTCATGTAATGATGGCAAGAAAACCTGGAGATGTATGAAAAGACATGAGTTCACAAACTGCCTGCTTGTTCAGAATAAGCCATGACTTATGGGTTACTATGGCATGCAAACATAGTTATAGACAAATCATCCCTCTTTTCATTTTTCTGTGAAACAAATTGCTCTGTGAAATACAGTAAATAGTGTTATGGAACCCTTTCCCTCAATTCATTTTTATGCAGCTTAGTTACAAAGAGTCATTGCCCTTGGCACAAGGCAGATCTGAACAAAATGGTGCAAAGGAACAGTTGTAAAACAGGAAGAAATAGACCTTGTCCTTTGCAAGATCCCGTTGCCCACAATCAAGAATGCAATGTAGTCTTTAGCAAATGAATTGTCTGGCTGTTTCTCCATCTTCCTGGCCTTTGATGGTATTTCAGGACAGAGAAAGCTCATATATGTAAAAATTTCTTTTCTTCTTTCTTTCTCTTCTTTCTTTCTCTTCTTTCTTTCTCTTCTTTCTTTCTTTCTTTCTTTCTTTCTTTCTTCTTTCTTTNTTAATGGAAAGCAGGGATCATAGAGGTCAGTGATGGTGAACCTTTTTCACCTCAGGTGCCAAAAGCACACACACACGCACACGCTATCGCGTATGCTCATGTGCCCACCCCCAAAATTTAATGTCCTCCACCCATGCCCCCTGCACATGCATATGTGACACCCCGCCCCCACGACCCTGGGCATGCGCTCGCAGTTTTCTTGGAGGCCAGAAACGGGCCCGGCAGGCCCATTCCCCCCCTCCGGCTCCAGAGGCTTTCTAGGAGCCTGGGGAGGGTGAAAACAGCCTCCCCCACCTCCCAGAGGCCGTCAGGAGGTCAGAAATAGCCTGTTTTCCAATTTCTGGTGGGCCCGGTAGGTCTGTTTTTTCCCTCCCCAGGCTCCAGAGGCTTTCTAGGAGCCTGGGGAGGGTGAAAACAGCCTCCCCCACCTCCCAGAGGCCGTCAGGAGGTCAGAAATAGCCTGTTTTCCAATTTCTGGTGGGCCCGGTAGGTCTGTTTTTTCCCTCCCCAGGCTCCAGAGGCTTTCAGAGGCAACACGCAAACCGGAAGTTCGGGAACGGGCTTCCAGGTTGCCCATTGGGCCATTTTTCTCCCTCTGGAGGCTTCAGGGAAGTCCATTCCCGAGTTTGTGGGTTGGGCAGTTTTTCGCCCTTCAGGGAAGCCTCTTGGGGGCAAAAACCGGCCAAACCCAAGGCCGAAAATCAGCTGGCCAGCACATGCATGTGCGCTGGAGCTGATAGGGCAACACCTTACGTGCCCTCAGAAAAGGCTCCGCATGCCACAGATTTGCCATCATGGATATAAGTTTATTCACTCCAGAAAGCAAGTTGTCTCATTGCCCAGTGAGGCAATTAGGCACTTTCTTCCATGAGCTTTACTCAAGAGAAAACAACCATTTTTCAAACATCAATTCAGTCCCTTATTTTAAGCCAGAGCACAGTACGTCCTATCCTAACAGGTTTTCACACCAATAAGAGGAGACCCAATTATCAAGCTGATTTCTGAAGAGATCCTGGCAAGTTGCTAATCTTTGAAATTCATGAATCCAGAATTCTACAATACAATAATTTTCCCTAAGCATCATGCCAAGCCTTTCCTGAAGCATCACAGTCTCCAGTAACATGGCTTACTGTTGAGAGAGAAAGTTGGGAGGGGTTCAGAGATACCTTTTGATTTTGTTTGTTTGTTTCTTGCCTTGAATATATTTAGATGGACTATACGGACCCCCCAATTCTGCGAAAGAAAACCTAGCTCTGCCCAATGGCCAGGTTCCAGGTGGGGGCATTCTATACTGGAGATAGTTAGTGAGCCACAAAGACGATCCTACCTCTGAGTGACTTATCCCACCTAGAACATGCCAGAGTATATTCATAGACTGGAATAGACATGGTGACAGGTCAGCCAATGGGGACTGTTGGGAAAGTGAAATATAGTATTTGTTTCTAAAGGCTCACAAGAGACAGTTTTGAAGCCTGGGTGTGGCTTAGACTTGCTGAACTGTATATAAGAGTTGCTTTGGCCTCTGTAACTTTTGCTCAGCCTCTGTACAATGTAGGTCTCTGTATCTCTCTACTCTGTAATGACCAGTCTGAACCAGTAGGAACTCACCTCTGGGTGTAGCTGTCGGGTGGAGATTTTGTTAAGTTGAAGCCTTAACAACTTATTTGTAAGGAAGAGGTTACACTCG